CATCTGCTGCAAGCCAGCTTCCAATTCCGAGGTCCTCTTGTCGATGATTGCACGATCGGCCTGTGAAATCTCGTGCTCGTCGAGGTCCGCGAACTTGAAAGCATTGCCACCACCATCCACTATGTCACGCAAATGAAGCACACGAATGGAGTCTTTCGCCTTCGAGTCACCCTTCGGCTTCTCCTTCTCCTTGTGCATTTTAGCGTGCAGCTGGGTGACGAGATTGTCATGAAGTTGATCCTGATGAGTGAGTTCATCACGTAGCTTGCGACATTCGCTCTTCTTCTTCGCAATATTGAGCGGCCACGTGGCCAGCAGGTCCAGCTCGCGATTGAGCTTGGACTCCGAGGTCTGCACTTGGTGGAAGGCCTGGTTGATCTGCTGGTGTAGCGAAGAAGCCCGCATCGCTGACTTCTTAGCTGCATCGACGCGCTCTGGATTTTGCTTCGCCAGAGCGGTGCCCCAAAACTTGGTTGCCAAGGATACCATCTGCTCCAGCTCCGTTTGACCACCCCCAGCGCCAGGCCCTGGAGGCAGAGGATCAGAGCGAGGCTGAGCTGCACTCTGGTCACGAGGAGGAGGTGCAGCATGCCCGCGAACACTATTGCAGCGCTTGCCAGTAATGCGGCTTGTGCCTAGCACACTTACATGTGGGATTGAGGCACGCCCTCTTGCCCGCGGGAGGAGTTGCCGCGGCCTCATCCTGTAATTCGGCTGCTTGGGCCATCCACCGCCAGCGGCCGCCGCAGCCGCGCAGGAGGCATCCAATGGGGGCGTACCTGGCATTGCGTCGATCTGGAATTTCGCCAGCCCACCGCGCCAGAGGCGTGCTAAAATCTCCGGCAATTGCTTAACAATTCGCGTGCGCGGGGCGGCTTCTGGGGGCTCCCGGGCGAAAAGTACACCGAGCAGGTCCCGGCCAGTGCGGCTCAGAGATGGTTTTCCTCCTCGGCGCTGCCTTCCAGGCCTCCCAGAGGGCCCCAGGAACGCGCCAAGAAGGCTCGCCGAGAAGCTCTAAGAGAGCCTCAAGAGGCCCTCCAAGAAGGCCCCAACAACCCAAAACCGTGTCATTGCTTCAGGAAAACGCACATTTCTGGCATAGACGACGCTCGGAGGTTCACAGCGTCCACGACTGCCCAGGAGCCCCCAAGATCGCCCCAAGATGGCCCAACATGCCCCCAAGATGCGCCGAAGAGAGCCCGAGAGGGCTCCAAGACAGCCAAAGAAGGCTCCAAGACAGCCCAAGACGCCCCCTGAGAGGGAACTCGCAATGACATTTGAATCTTTCCGACCCCTGGGGCCCCTCCGAGACCGCCAGCAGGCTCCCAAGAAGCACCCAGAAGCCCCAAGAAGCCCCCGAGAGGCCCAAAATCAGACCCCCCAGGCACCCAAACGGCCATGACGAGGCATCAAGGAGCTTCAAAACTGCCTCCAAAAGGCTTCCTCGACACCTTCCAGAAGACCCCAACATCGCCGCACAAACCCCCACGAAGGCACCCGAAGTCCAACAAAACACCACACAACTAGCCGCCACGCGAAAAGCGACCGATTCTCCTGACAACCCCCAAGAAATCCAAACGAATCGCCCCAGCATCATGCCCCACGCAACGCCTCACAAAACAGCCGGCGCCCCTGCAGCTCAACACCGCCAACGACCACTCGGCCAGTCGACGCAGCAATGCCCCAACATGGGCCAGCGGAGTGAGCGAAGCGATTGAATAATTCTAAGCCGAGAGGCGAACGTCCTTGGCCCGCTGACACCCAGCTGCTCTGAAGTGCAGGTGCCAGCAAGCACAGGAGAAAAGACCTGTGCCTGAACAGCTGACTTGAGCCAAAATGGCTACGCGTCGTTCATTTCAAATCGTGCTGCTCATTTCTAATTGCGCTCGTTTCTAATTGTTCCTGGCCCCCTCGTGGCCAGGAAGAGGCCCAGGATAAAACAATTAAAATGAAAGGACCTTGGCCCCCCAAAAAAAATCAAAGAACTCCCGAATAATTAAACATGAACAACGTGTACGGAGGGGGGAGATGGAGGAGGACCGATGGTGGGAGGAGGATGGGGGAGGATGGACGAGTGAGGACCGTGGTCGGCGGCACGTCCGGGGGGAAAGCCGTGGGGGGCGGGCCTTCTCAGCAGGCTCGGAAGGCCTCGGGTTGTCTGGCAAATCGCTGTCCTAAGCAGCCCCCGAGGCCACGGGACACCCCTCAGGAGGCGCGAAGGCTTCTGAGAAGCCCCGCCGCCTTCTGAGAATCCTGCCCCCTCGCTTCCCCCCCGGGGCGCGCGGGCGACATAGAGGAGGAAGGACAAGACGAGAAGGATGGAGGAGGAAGAGGAGGGATGGAGGATGATGGAGGATGGGGGAGGTGGGAGGAGACAGGGAGGAAAAAGGATGGAGGAGGAGGAGGAGGAGGAGAAGGATGAGGAGAAGGAGGAGGAGGAGGAGGGATGAGAAGGAAGAGCCCCTTTTTATTTGACGAGGGAGCCCAAAGCCACCAGAAACGGATGCGGTACACAAGTAGTGAGCTGTCGCAAGGCCGCACTCTGGTCCTGCGCTCGGGTCCATCACGTAGGCCTGGGGCGCGCGCTTCCGCGCGTCAAGCACGAGAGGCTGGCAGTGGCAGGCAACGACAGGTGAGACACTCCTTGAAGTAGTGGCATCAGGCCCCACACGAGTGCAGCTATCGCGTCTGAGCGATTCACCCACTGAGGATAGAATGCGGGAGGAGGAGACTGCAATGCGCCCCGTCAGTCGAGGAGAACATGAGCAGCCTCCTCTTCTGCGGCATCGTCCCTGTGCCAATGCTCGGGGTCGGGCTCGAAGTTGGGGGGAACCAAAGGAGGGGGAGTCAGCTGTGGCCCCGACGGCCACCATCAAATGAAGGAGTTTCTACACTGCGAAACCCTGGTTTGACGTCGGCAGGAGGACAGTTGAGGGAGGTAGGCGAGGGTGCTGCACAGTGCCGCCTACGGTCTCACCTCGGACAACATTGACGGGGCAACTCAGCTGCGCCGCGGGGCGTCCAGCCAAGTCGCGACCTCGTCCTCCAGCGAGCCCGTGGGCTTCACGAGAGTCATCCTCGTCGCAGCGCTTTCCGACTGGAAGGCATGAGTGATGATCACGCGGAGCGGCCAGGAAGGAGCCGCGAGCAGGAGATTGGCCTTAGACTCGTCGTGGGCCTGCTCGACCTTGATGGCCTGCACGTCCAATTCCAGCTGCTTGAGATCCAAGGTGGCCGTGCGGCCAGGGGCGGCTCGATCTTGTCGAGGTACTCGCCGAGCTACTTTTAGGTCAGGCATGTCCCCCTGCAGGCGGATTTTGCACGACAAATATCAAGAATACCCTCGAAAATACTCCCTACATTTCCAAAATGGTCAAAACATCGTCCCCAGACTATGTTTACAATGTTTGAATGCTCCTCCTGTAGAGGGACAGGCCCGACTTAAAGCTACTTCTTGGTCTGCCCTCACACGTCGAGGCACTCGGGCTGCCGACCGCGCGACGCTGATCTGCTCCTCGAGGAAGGGAGGGAGGAGGGGAACCATGAGGAGGACGACGACCCTCCGAGACATCCTTGAGCTCCACGTGACCCCCTAAAACGGCCCCCCACCCGGTTCCCCCCTTGCCGCGCGAACCTCCCTCCTCCCTCCCCTCTACCCACCCGCCCTGTCCCCTGCCCTCCTCATCCTCCTTCCCTCCTTCCCCCCTCCCTCTGCCCCTCCCTCTGCCACCTCCTCCTCCTCCTCCTCCTCCTCCCTCCTCCTCTTCTTCTTCTTCTTCTTATTATTATTATTCTTATTCTTCTTCTTATTCTTCTTATTCTTCTTCTTCGTCTTCTTCTTCTTATTATTATTATTATTCTTATTATTATTATTCTTCTTCTTCTTCTTCTTATTCTTCTTCTTCTTCTTATTCTTCTTCTTCTTCTTCTTCCTCCTCCTCCTCCTCCTCCTCCTCCTCCCCTCCTCCTCCTCCTCCTCCTCCTCCTCCTCCTCCTCCTCTTCTTCCTCCTCCTCTTCCTCCTCCTCCTCCTCCTCCTCCTCCTCTCCTCCTCCTCCTCATCCTCCTCCTCCTCTCCTCCTCCTCCTCCTCTCCTCCTCTCCTCCCCCCTCCTCCCTCCTCCTCCTCCTCCGCCTCCTCCTCCTCCTCCTCCTCCTCCTCCTCCTCCTCCTCCCCTCCTCCTCCCCTCCTCCGCCTCCTCCTCCTCCTCCTCCTCCTCCTCCTCCTCCTCCTCCTCCTCATCCTCCCTCCTCCTCCTCCTCCTCCTCCTCCTCCTCCTCCTCCTCCTCCTCCCCCCCCCGCATAAGCCGGGGGCCCGGTGAGCACACTGGGATAGCCGGGGAACCCAAAGTGGTCGGCGCCGCCTGTATCGGCGGGGTACAAATAGAGCCGACGACCAACCGCAGGACTGGCGGAGGGCGGCGGGGGGGCTTGGGCGCCCAGGCCCCCTGGGGGTGTCTCCCTCCCCTCGGTGGGCGGGCTGGCGCTGGCTCCCTCGGGCCTGCGACGCGCCACCCATCGCCTGTTCCGAGGGCGCGATGGGTGCGGCGCGCGAAGGCGGGCCTCACACGCCCGATTCGCGGCGCGAAGGCACCCCTCGCCTGCGCCGAGAGCGCGAGGGGTGCGGGAGGCGGGGGCCCGTCTGCTGTCGCGTGGGGCCCCTGGCCCCCAGGGCGGTGCGCCGCACGGCGCTTCCAGTGCGACCCGCACCGCCCTGGGGATTCGTCGGCCCTGGCTGCCCTATTAGTGGGGGCTGCTGGGGTCCGCTGGGGGGCCCCGCGGCACGGGGCGCCCCTTTTTCTGCTGTTTTTCAGCCGAGGGCGGCCCAGGCTCGACGCCTAAGGCTGCCCAGTGTTTGGGCTTCCCTGCGCTCATGGAGTCTGGTTGCGCCAATGCTGCTAATCCTGCTAATCCTCCTCCTCCTCTTCCTCCTCCTCCTCCTCTTCGCAGGGCCTGGCCTAGAGGGAGGGGGCGAGGAGGAGCCGAGGCTGGCAAAGGGGCCTGCTGCCTGGAGAGCAGCTCCTTGTGCAGCTTCTTGAGCTCGTCGCACCGGGCCTCCAGCTCTCTCTTCTCCTCGCGCGGGGCGGCCCCTCCCTCCCTTGAGAGAGGAGGAGGAGGCGGAGGAGGAGGAAGAGGAGGAGGAGGAGGAGGAGGAGGAGGAGGAGGAAGAGGAGCAGTTGGAGCAGGCGCTTTGGGGCAGTTCTCGGCCTCCGGGGGCCCTCGCCGGGCCTCGGGAGCGTCAACAAAACGAGTCAGGACGAAGAACCGGTCCCGGGGAAGCAAGGGCTCCCAATTTCGCGCTTCGCGCTGCGCGAAGTGCGAAGAACTTCGCGCTCTCGCGCCGTCTCCCAGGGGGGAAGAGGAGGACGAGGAGGAATCGGAGCCGAAGCGCGAAGCGCGAACAGGTCCCGGGGAAGTGGTCCGGACCTCCCTTGAGCAGGGACCGACCGTCCCTGCATCCCTGTGGTCCTACCACGAAATGTTCGTAGAACCCAAACATTCTCTAAGAACAGAAGCAATGTTCTTAGAACAAAAACCCGATGTGTTAAAACACAATAATATCAACCAGACATGTTCTAAGAACATTTCGTGGAAACCACAGAAAAGGTTCTTAGAACATTGTTTGGGTAGGGCTATCGGCGAGCCGGGACGCTTCGCCACCGCTTGACTCCTGGGTCCACGCACCAAAAAAGTTGGAGCAGGCGGATACCTGGGTCTGCGAGGCCGCAGGGGGCACAGCAGCTCGGCGCGACCCAGCTGCAGGGGGCCAGCCCTCAAAAACTGCTGGCCAGCTGACGGCAGCCCAGCGCGCGCCTCGCGCGCACCGGCCGCGGGCCTCAACCGGAGGTGGGGGCCCGCGCGGGCCGTCTCTCCCCACGGGCGCGCAGCGAGTGGGCAGGGCCCGCGGGGAGGAGCCTCCAGCGGGGAGCTGCCATTGCAGGCAGGATGCGGTCAGGAGCTCCTGCATGGCGTGTCGCGGCGGCGTCCCCGGCGACACGCTGCGCTTTGCAAGGGGATGGCGTGTCGCTCTGCTCCGCGGGGGCAGGAGGCCAGGAGATGCTCGGGACAATGACGCCCGGGGACGACTGTGCCGCGGGTAGCGCTTCGCGCCGAAGTCTGGTGGGCCAGTGCCGGCGGAGCGACGCGCGAACCAACAGATCCCGACCGTGGCACGCTGTGGGCATCCAGGGAGCATCGGGTCCGAGGAAGGGATGGGACACCGGAGAGGGGGCTAACACATCAGCTCGCGCAGCTGATCTTTCCCAGCGCCCCCCGTCGCCAGATGCACAACCGCATCGAAGATAAGCGCCCCGCGGCGGGGCAGAGACCAGCCACATGCAGCAGGCTTCGTGATCCCCCCCCCACCGTTTCCCAATCCCCCCCCAGTTCGCTCGACACGAGACGAGACAAGGGAGGGAGGGAGGGTGGATGGGTGGGAGGGAGGGGCGGAGGAGGAGGAGGAGGAAAAGGACGAGGAGGAGGAGGAAAAGAACGAGGAAGATATGATGTTGATGATGATGCTGCTGCTGCTGCTGATGATGCTGATGATGATGATGATGATGATGATGATGATGATGATGATGATGATGATGATGATGATGATGATGATGATGATGATGATGATGATTGGTGATGATGATGATGACCATGATTGATGATGATGATGCTGATGATGATGATGATGATGATGATGATGATGATGATGATGATGGTGATGATGATAAATATTGATGATGATGAATATTCATGATGAGGAGGAGGAGGAGGAGGAGGAGGAGGAGGAGGAGGAGGAGGAAGAGGATGAGGAGGAAGAAGAGGAGGAGGAAAGAAGAGGAGGAGGAGGAGGAGGAGGAGGAGGAGGAGGAAAGAGGAGGAGGAAGAGGAGAAGGAGGGAGGAGGACGAGGAGGAAGAGGAGGAGGAGGAAGAGGAGGAGGAGGAGGAGGAGGAGGAGGAGAAAAAGGAGGGAGGATGAGGAGGAGGAGGAGGAGGAGGAGGAGGAGGAGGAGGAGGAGGAGGAAAGGGCGCGGGTTCCGGGACGGCTGGGAGCGTTCTGGGAGTCTTGTGGGGCGCCCGGGCGCCCCTCTTTTTCGCGTAATCGCGGAACTGGGGGGGAGGGAGGAGGAGGAGGGGGAGGAAGAGGAGGAGGAGGAGGAGGAGGGGAAGGAGGAGGAGGAGGAGGAGGAGGAGGTGGAGGGGGAGGAGGAGGTGGAGGGGGAGAAGGAGGAGGGGGAGGAGGAGGAGGGGGAGGAGGAGGAGGAGGTTGAGGACTGTACTCGACTGCTGACTTGTTAAAGGTATGCATAATCCAAAAGCCACCCAAGAGAGAAACTGGGTATTTCCAAAAGAAGTCCCCAGGCACTGCTTGGAACGCGTTCGAAGCAGTGCGTGGGGACTACAGCGGTGGCAACGGCAAGAACAATGACACCAACAACTATACGATGATGTGTTCGGGCTCATACGGTGGCCACGCAGCGCTGGCGCAACAGTGCCCGCAACTGCCACGGTGCGCGCCCCAAGTCCAGGGCGCCCACTGGTTGGCTGTCCACTGGTTGCCTGCCCAGCTCTCCCACACGTCGCTCGCCCACAATTGGTCGTTCGACCACCGCGCAACATCGCCCGCAACTGCGGCGCGCTCTCTTGGAAACCACCGCCACCGCCGGCCATCAGCACTCAAATCAACGACCTGTGAATATGGCGCGATCCAATCGCACGGCCGTCGGCCGCGCCGCCGCTGGCGCCAAGGTTCCGCCGCCACTGCGGGAAGCGGGGAGGTCCGCCACTGCCGCCGTGTTGTCCTTCTGGTCGCCAATCCCCGCGGGCCTCTCCGCAACTGCGCGATGCGCGCGGCCGCCCTTGCTTATCCATTTCCTTCTTGCGTCGAGCCGCGAGTATCTCTGGAGACCTTCGGCACGCATCGTGTGAAGGCAACCGAACCAAATGGGAAGCGCGCTCCGCTTCGAGCTTCGCCGACACTACCGCAACAGGGTTCTGGGGGTCGAACGGGGGCATGAATTTAAATATTACTCATAAGGATGTTGCGTCGTTGTCGTCGTCGTCCTCGGCATCGTCGTTAACTTTCCTGCTGCGCGTTGTCGGCCTTCAGGCGCAAAGGAGCCTTGTGGATGTCAGGGCTCGCGGGCATCTGCAGGATCTCCTCCTCCGTTCCTCTTTCGCCCAGCATGCCCTCCTCCTCCTCCGCGTGGAGGATCTGACCCTGGGGTGGGTGGGTCCCAGGAGTGTGTATATATATATATATATGTATATATATATATATATATATGGGTGGTTCGGTGCTGTTTCCGGCAGACCGTATTCTTAAGATAAAGACTGGACCCCTGGAGCAGGGGGTCCGATGTTGTTGGTCGTTGCTACTCCTGTTCCCTCTCTCTCTCTCTCTCGCTTCCCCTGCCTACGACTGTGTCCTCCAGGCATATACAGCTCCTGTGGCGTTTGCTTCCCTCCGCGACGCCTGTGGCGAGGGGTGGACTGACGCACGAGGAGCACTGCCGAGCCAGAGCTGCGCCCTGGCATCGAGGCCGATATTCGGCCGCTGCCTGGGCCTATATCAAGGCGAGGAGCACCTGGGGGGACAGGCCAAAAAATACACGAAGGTCCCAAACATACAGGTCTCTCTCTTCTTTGCTTCTCTCTCTCTCTCTCTCTCTTTCTCTCTCCCTCTCTCTCTCTCTCTCTCTCTCTCTTTCGTTTCCCAAGGATATTTCCCTCTTTATCGTTTCTCTCTCTCTCTCTCTCTCTTTCGCGTTTCTCTTTTTCGTTGCTATTCCTGCTCCCTCTCTCTCTCTCTCCCGTTTCCCCTGGATCCTTTCTCCCGGGGCCCGGCCGCCAGAGGAAGAAGCTCGCAGAGCGGGGGGGGGCCCTTGGCGCCAGGGGCCGTCGGAGGCCCCCCCCCCCGTTATCCCCCTCCTTCTCCCCCCCGAAGAGGAGCTGAGAAGGGAGGGAAGGGGGCGCGGGGGGGGGGGCGTTTTTTTTTTCCCCGTCGAGCCTTTTCCCCTAGGGCCCCTGGGGCAGGGGGTCAGATTTTTGTTGGCCGTTGCTTTTCCCTCTCTTTCTCTCTATCGCCCCCCGAGGGCCTTTCTCCCGGGGCCCGGCCGCCAGGCCAGAGGAAACTGGCACAGCCGGGGGGCCCCTGGGCCGTCGGAGGCCCCCCCCCCCCCCCCCCTTCTCCCCCTCCTTTAAGGGGGCCCCAGGACACGCAAATAAATGCACACTGATAGAACTATTCCCTATATTCTCCCATGTTTTGTGGGTTCTTCCCCCCTACTTCCCCATATTTCCCCCGCATTTTTGGGGAATCGACGATGAATTGCGTCTGTGTGTTTCTTTCCCTCTTGATCTTTATCCCCCCCGAAGAGGAGCTGAGAATGGAGGGAAGGGGGCGCCGAGGGGGGGCCCTTTTTTCCCGTCGAGCCTTTCCCCCAGGGAAGCCAGCCCCCAGAGGAAGCTGGCAGCGCCATGGGCCGCGGAGGATTTCAATTGGAATCGCGATTCTCCTGTCGCGGAGGATTTCGATTGGAAAACCTGCGCCGAGGATATCGCAATTGGACTCCTTCTGCGTAGGGATTCAGTCTGAACTCGGCGGGCAATCTCAGCGCGGGGCCCCCACCCCTCCTCCTCCGCCTTCATCAGGGACAACGGGGGGGGGGCGGGGCCTCTACCTCCTCAGGGGGTCCGCATGAGGGCGCGCCGATAACCGTGCACTTGCGCGCGCAATGCAAGGCCCCCGCAGACGCCGCACTAGCCGACGTGGTAGGCCATGACGCGCGAGCGAGAACGTGGGAATCCGATGCAAACGACGCGATGCATGCATTCTGGGCCGTCAGAAAACTCACGTCGCAAGAGCTTCAGCAAGGAAACGCTGGCAATCAATGCGCAGTTGCACAATGTAGTCTTCGGTGGCAGGAGAAAGAACCGGTGGCCTGCCCGCCTGGGCCAAGCGGGTACATGATCGCCCCGGAGGCCCCCGCGCCGAAGAATTGTCGCGCCGCGAAGAAGGGCGAGGAGCTAGAGCCGCACCTGGGAAGAAAGCGTCGGGAGAGACGTGTAGGACGGA